CAAAAATCTACGCCCGCAGGCTAAGTTCAATACTACTAACACTAATACACGACGATCAGGTGGGATTTGTAGCGGCAGACAATACCAGGAAAGTCCTGGACTTAATACACAGCATACGGAGAAAAGGATCAAGTGGCCTTCTCATGTCACTAGATGTGGAGAAGACCTTTGACAGACTTAATTGGCACTTCCTACAGGCCGTCCTAAAGAAATTTGGCTTCCCCTCTCAATTCATTGACACAGTAGCGGCTCTGTACAGTCACCCAGCAGCTCGAGTCATCAATGCGGGATTCTGCTTGGACAGATTCACAATATCCAACAGCTCCCATCAGGGATGCCCCCTGTCCCCGCTGCTGTATGTCCTGGCTTTGGAGCCTCTGGCAGCCAGGATCAGGGCGGAACCCGCAATCCACGGGATACAGCTAAACCAAAGAGAATACAAGCTAAGTATTTTCGCGGATGATGTATTCCTAACCCTAACACAACCACACATCTCCCTGCCTAACCTCATGCATCACATTACATCATATGGCCATGTCTCATATTACAAATTGAATGTCACTAAGACACAAGCACTAAGCATAAATATAAATAAAACCCAATTGGATAATCTTAAAGGCACATTCCCCCTAGACTGGAGAAAGGACTACCTAACCTATTTAGGCATCAAAATGACAAAAAATCCTGCCTCCCTGTTCAAAACGAACTACCAAGCCCTATTAACTGCATTTAAAACAACACTAGAGACGTGGGAGGGGACATACCTGTCATGGGTGGGACGCATAGCAGCCATAAAAATGCCCCTACTACCGAAATTACAATACCTGTACAGAACACTGCAAATCACTCTACCGGAGACATACCTTAAGACCCTAACAAAAATACTAACCAACTTCACATGGCAGAACAAAAAACCCAGAGTAGCAACTAAATTACTACAGACACCATTGAAGCAGGGGGGACTGGGACTCCCAGACTTGACTGCATACTACAGAGCAGCAGCATTAACTGTAGTACCAGAACTAAAGACGCACCCCTCATCACCCCAATGGCTGGAAATAGAGAACAGCTGGGCACAACCCTTAAAGGACCACTCTTGGCACCCAGACCACTTCAGCTTAATGAAGTGGTCTGGGTGCCAGGTCCAGCTAGGGTTAACCCATTGTTTTATAAACATAGTAGTTTCAGAGAAACTGCTATGTTTATCAATGGCTTAAGCCTTCCCCCAAAGCCTCTAGCGGCTGTCTCATTGACAGCCGCTAGAGGCACTTGCGTGCTTCTCACTGTCCTTTTCACAGTGAGAACACGCCAGCATCCATAGGAAAGCATTGATAATGCTTTCCTATGCGACCGGCTGAATGTGCGCGCAGCTCTTGTCGCGCGTGCGCATTCAGTCGACGGGGCGGAGAGGAGGAGGAGAGCTCCCCGCCCAGTGCTGGAAAAAGGTAAGTTTTTACCCCTTTCCCCCTTCCAGAGCCGGGCGGGACGGGGTCCCTGAGGGTGGGGGCACCCTCAGGGCACTATAGTGCCAGGAAAACGAGTATGTTTTCCTGGCACTATAGTGGTCCTTTAACGCTGCACACGCTCTTTTGGACCCCCAAACCACACAGAAAAGACACAACCCAACTTCTACCCACCACACAACACATAGTACAACATTGGGACTCCGCAAAACACCTGTTTTTACATTATCTACCACTGCCAAGAGCAGCTCCTATAAGAGCACTAGAATCTATAATACCGACCCTGAATTTACAACCATGGCTGCAGGGAGGGATCCAAGAGATAGAACAATTGTACAATGATGAGAACTTAAAAACCTTTGCAGATATACAATGAGAATTCAACCTACCACATAGATTGACATTTGCATACCTACAAATCAAATCCTACCTAACAAAGAATGAACCCAGCACGAGAGATAGCGACACAACACCACAAATGTCCAAATTTGAGCTGATCTGCTCGCATAAAAAAACCACCCAAAAAACTATTATCTACAACCTATAAAAACACTGATCCTGGGGTTGGCTCAGGACCAAGAGAAGGACACACACATCCAATCATGGCACAGGGAATTAGGGAGAGTCATACCACTAGACAAATGGTCCCAAGCATACTCTTCACACAGCGTGGTAACCTCATGCGCCACGCATATTGAAATGCAACACAAATTAATATACTGCTGGTATCTAGTCCCATCCAGGGTTTACCAGATTTGGCCACAATCCCCAGATAGGTGCTGGAGATGTGGGTATGCCCCAGGCAACATGCAGCACATCTGGTGGACTTGCCCTATACTAACACAGTACTGGCAGGTAGTACGAGACATCATAACCAAAGTCACACGAACGTAAATAACACTAACCTTATAGCTATGCATCCTATTTATCCCACCAGAACCTCTCCACAAAGACATGTGGGCAGTAATCTACCACGTACTAATCTCAGCGGCCATAAATATAGCCAGATGTTGGGAAAAAAACAACAGTTTTATTTTATTATGGGAAGCCATAATAAAATAAAACTTAACTGGGCCTATGCAATGGCCTATGCAAACCAATATGGTATAAAGAATGAGATCAGCACACAAAATGTGGAATGATTATTTAGACCACAAGTCTAATACAGACAAGGTAAATACGAGAAACCCTACGAATCAAAAAGATCTATCTCACCAAGTTATACCCCCCGTCCTCCCACCCCCCTGACTCTTCCCTCCCCTCCTACCCTAGATTTTAGCTTAAAATGGCACAGTGCAGGCAACTATGCAGAAATCCTTATGTTCTCTGTATGACTTGACTTGTATTGTATGCTGTACCATAATAAATCTCACGCATCCATCTACCCGCGTAACCACGAATATACCTAAGAATGTATGCATATAATATGTCATGACAAAATTTTTTGTTGAAAGTAAATGTAACATGAAGTGAAACGCACATGTACTGTCCAATACAAATTGTCAAATTGAAAAAAAAAAAATGTAGGGTGAATTAATTGCATTTGATAAAATCGATATGGCAGAATGAGGGGCGTATACAGTAAGCACAGTGCATGAAGCTAATTGAGGTAACCACTCCCACAACTTCAGGCTTTGTGTCTCTCTCTCTCTCTCTCTCTCTCTCTCTCTCTCTCTCTCTCTCTCTCTCTCTCTCTCTCTCTCTCTCTCTCTCTCTCTCTCTCTCTCTCTCTCTCTCTCTCTATATATATATATATATATATATATATATATATAGGGATAGTTAATACAATGCTAAACAAAAAATCTGCACACCAGTCAAGCCATAAGACTTGCTTTTCCCACAGAAATCCCAAATCAGCAGTGATGTTACAACCGCAAAGGATTCTGGGTGGGCATATGCAAATTAGTTTAACAAAGAATCACATTTTTGCCTCATTCCATTTTAAACATGGATTCCTTTTAATTTGTGTTTGCAGTATACAACTGCTTGGAACACAATTTAGGATAAGATGCAAAACCAGTGAACCACTCATGGACAGCTGTTTCGTTGTTAATGCAACTCTTCAGCATGAGGTTGGTTACTGGTTTGCTTAGTAAGGCTTGGTAGTGCTTGGGAAGCAAAATTCAATTAGGTTATGGTGGGGAAAAATTGTGATTGAAAACCCCTTCCACCTGAAGTATGTGGATAGTTAATACAATGCTAAACAAAAATCTGCACACCAGTCAAGCCATAAGACTTGCTTTTCCCACAGAAATCCCAAATCAGCAGTGATGTTACAACCGCAAAGGATTCTGGGTAGGCATATGCAAATTAGTTTAACAAAGAATCACATTTTTGCCTCATTCCATTTTAAACATGGATTCCTTTTAATTTGTGTTTGCAGTATACAACTGCTTGGAACACAATTTAGGATAAGATGCAAAACCAGTGAACCACTCATGGACAGCTGTTTCGTTGTTAATGCAACTCTTCAGCATGAGGTTGGTTACTGGTTTGCTTAGTAAGGCTTGGTAGTGCTTGGGAAGCAAAATTCAATTAGGTTATGGTGGGGAAAAATTGTGATTGAAAACCCCTTCCACCTGAAGTATGTGGATAGTTAATACAATGCTAAACAAAAATCTGCACACCAGTCAAGCCATAAGACTTGCTTTTCCCACAGAAATCCCAAATCAGCAGTGATGTTACAACCGCAAAGGATTCTGGGTGGGCATATGCAAATTAGTTTAACAAAGATATATATATATATATTACTTTGGCCAGATAAAGGATTTTATAAACTTTTTTGCAGGTTAGGGGGACAACTGCCTGACAACCCCCTGCAGGCAGATCCCTGGACAGCCTATATGGCCATGTGATTGCAATGTTATCATGGTTACATGGCCCTGAAGGTACTGATTGTCCTGAAGGTCTTAGTTTTAGTTTAAATGTTTAATAGAAATGCCAATGACGATAGTGATGGTTGGGTTTTCAATAAAGATTTCCTTATTAGAAAATTAAACCACTATTGCACACCCTAAAGAAGTGTGCTGTGCATGCCTAGTCCCTTAAGGGTTACTCCAACTGCCATGACTACTTCAGTGATTTCAAGCTGCCATAGTGCCTGGAGTCAGTATGTGCTGCTTTTTGCTGTGAAACACTTCACATACCCCATGGCTGTAAATCCACCTTTGGCAGCGTCACTAGAGCTCCGAGCTGGCTAATATCAATTCTGTGCAAATTTATTTTTTGCCCCATTACTGGGGAACCGGCCAGGTCATCATAATCACGACAGGGGCTTGGATTAACCCTTTAATGATATATTAGCAAATATAAAATCCCCAAATGAGCTCAAAGTGACTACATTTTCAACAGAGCCAAAAGAATTTCTCAATAATACTGTGCGTAAATTTAGACATTAAATAGATCTTATTGTCTTATTTAATAAAGCTAGGAAAATATGTTTACACAAATTAAATCAAGATCAATGGAAATTTAGAATTTAGGTAGTCTTAATTTCTGAAATAAGGAGCTTAAACATAAAGAGCACTCATTCTGTCAAAGATTCCCTACCAGGCTTTGTAGTTGTTGGAGAAGTTGTAAAACATCCAGCAATTTCTCCTCAATGAGCGATAACCGTACTCGTTCTGTCTCTAGCATTTGCAGATCCATTCTCAGTATCTCAAGCTCCTCCCCTTTCATTTGAAGTTCTTTTAGTAATGGGCTTTTTATCTATACCGAAGAAAAAATATACTTATTAATATGTCAATTTTTAATAAGAAGATCTAATAGAAGTAACATATGGGTCCTAAAAATATGGAACTGATTCTTGTTGCCTGAAAAATATTAGTCATATTTAAAATGATTCCATACATGTATAGTCCTTCTTGGTCAGGATTGAGGCAGATCCATCATTTTAGTTATGCTTTCTAACTAGACTAAAGCATGTATTTCTCTTGAAAAGGTACCTCATCGACCAGCATTTTATTGTTATTTGTAGTAAGGCCCTGAAAACTCCACTAACCAGATCTATTATAAATTTTCATGTAAGAGAATAAGAACCACTATTGCTGCCCAGTCACTGGTGCAATAAGGGGGAACCTGGCACAGGTTAAATCCTGCCGCATGCCCCTACCTGCGGGTGGGGACCCTAAATAAATAATGGCGGCACCCACCCATGAGCGGCGGGTGGGGACCCCAAATAAATAAGGGGGGGAACCTAATGTCCCCACCTATGAGCGGTGGGTTGGGACCCTAATTAAATAAATAATGGGGGGTACCCCAATAAAAATACCCTACCTACCCCCCTCACCCTTATAATAGTAGAGGGGGGGGGGGCAATAAACTAACCCTGTAAAATAAAATGTCATACTTACCATTTGAAGTCTTCTTTCTTTCTTTTCTTTTCTTCCTTCAGCCCACAAAAAAGCCAAATAAAAATCCATAATACGTGTCGCAACTGTAAAAAAACAAAAAATGAGCTCCGCAGGGCGGGGAATGGCTTATAAAGCCTTCCCACACCCTGCAATTAGACTTAGAGAGCTCTGATTGGTTGGTTAAACAGGTAAGTATCTACATTTACCTTTCACAGCACTCTGATTGGTTGGCTTGAAATCTAACCAATCAGAGTGCTCTGTGTCATTTTACACAGCGTGGGAAAGCTCTTTGGAATTTTCCCATGCTGTGTAATTTGACTCATATCACTGAGTGGTTGCTTTCATTTGTTTAGGCGACGTATAAAAAGTAGCTATTTAGATCTAAATAGCTACTTTTTCATATTGCAACATGGTTATAGTTTTTGCTATAACTTTTGGCTACACATAATCTTACCATAGCTCTCTTTCACTTCTACATAAGACACTGATGATTTTTATATTCAGTTTTAAATTTAGTGACCCCCATACTGATTTATATTTAGTGTTAAATGACAGCGAGCAGCAACTGGGGCATGAGGGAGCTTTTTGTAACGAAATCCCTTGTGAAACATACTACGCGAACCAGCCTCTTCGGTTATTTAGACGTGTGTGGGGTGATTTCGTGCAAATAGCAATAAAACGAATAAACTGCCGAATCACCCGACCTCCTACTGAGGTCGTGTGGCGCCCATTAACCACCCAGACTTTACGGTTACCCACAGAGTAATTGGGGAACAGCTTGGTGGTCCGCGTTCGTCTGCCGAACAAGTGGCAGTCGCCATTTTAAATCGAACGCCCAGCGGTAATGGCGGCGATGCCCTGGAACTCTTTTTCGGATACTTATTCTGCTGTACACCGCTGATACTTAAAAGGTCCTCGTTCATATGGTTGAAAACCCACGAATACCGGAGACATTGCACTGTTCAGGACTTGGATTTATGCGAAAGAGACCGACCCCAGATAGCTACAGTGTGGAACTCTTTATCTGATACAAACACGCGAACGGCCGGTGAAGTCCAAACTTCATTCGACGTTATTGAGAACTGTGTTCGTGGGATCTGAGCGCTATTCGCCTAGAATATGCACTCAGATCCAAGCTATCTGGGGGTATGTGGGACTTACAGGGAGTGCAGAATTATTAGGCAAGTTGTATTTTTGAGGATTCATTTTATTATTGAGCAACAACCATGTTCTCAATGAACCCAAAAAACTCATTAATATCAAAGCTGAATATTTTTGGAAGTAGTTTTTAGTTTGTTTTTAGTTTTAGCTATGTTAGGGGGATATCTGTGTGTGCAGGTGACTACTACTGTGCATAATTATTAGGCAACTTAACAAAAAACAAATATATACCCATTTCAATTATTTATTATTACCAGTGAAACCAATATAACATCTCAACATTCACAAATATACATTTCTGACATTCAAAAACAAAACAAAAACAAATCAGTGACCAATATAGCCACCTTTCTTTGCAAGGACACTCAAAAGCCTGCCATCCATGGATTCTGTCAATGTTTTGATCTGTTCACCATCAACATTGCGTGCAGCAGCAACCACAGCCTCCCAGACACTGTTCAGAGAGGTGTACTGTTTTCCCTCCTTGTAAATCTCACATTTGATGATGGACCACAGGTTCTCAATGGGGTTCAGATCAGGTGAACAAGGAGGCCATGTCATTAGATTTTCTTCTTTTATACCCTTTCTTGCCACGCTGTGGAGTACTTGGACGCGTGTGATGGAGCATTGTCCTGCATGAAAATCATGTTTTTCTTGAAGGATGCAGACTTCTTCCTGTACCACTGCTTGAAGAAGGTGTCTTCCAGGAACTGGCAGTAGGACTGGGAGTTGAGCTTGACTCCATCCTCAACCCGAAAAGGCCCCACAAGCTCATCTTTGATGATACCAGCCCAAACCAGTACTCCACCTCCACCTTGCTGGCGTCTGAGTCGGACTGGAGCTCTCTGCCCTTTACCAATCCAGCCACGGGCCCATCCATCTGGCCCATCAAGACTCACTCTCATTTCATCAGTCCATAAAACCTTAGAAAAATCAGTCTTGAGATATTTCTTGGCCCAGTCTTGACGTTTCAGCTTGTGTGTCTTGTTCAGTGGTGGTCGTCTTTCAGCCTTTCTTACCTTGGCCATGTCTCTGAGTATTGCACACCTTGTGCTTTTGGGCACTCCAGTGATGTTGCAGCTCTGAAATATGGCCAAACTGGTGGCAAGTGGCATCGCGGCAGCTGCACGCTTGACTTTTCTCAGTTCATGGGCAGTTATTTTGCGCCTTGGTTTTTCCACACGCTTCTTGCGACCCTGTTGACTATTTTGAATGAAACGCTTGATTGTTCGATGATCACGCTTCAGAAGCTTTGCAATTTTAAGAGTGCTGCATCCCTCTGCAAGATATCTCACTATTTTTGACTTTTCTGAGCCTGTCAAGTCCTTCTTTTGACCCATTTTGCCAAAGGAAAGGAAGCTGCCTAATAATTATGCACACCTGATATAGGGTGTTGATGTCATTAGACCACACCCCTTCTCATTACAGAGATGCACATCACCTAATATGCTTAATTGGTAGTAGGCTTTCGAGCCTATACAGCTTGGAGTAAGACAACATGCATAAAGAGGATGATGTGGTCAAAATACTCATTTGCCTAATAATTCTGCACTCCCTGTAAAGTTTATGTTCAGTAAAATATAAGTTATAGATTTTTATGCTGTTTTGTGAATATTGGAAAAGCCATGTTTCTTTCTACCTGGAGATAATTAAGGCTCTCTTTACTACCTTAAGTTAATTATCTCCAGGATGGAAAGGAGGGAGTGACCTATGTAAAAGGAGAGTGCTTATGTTATAGCCACTGCGATTGGCTACTGTAATTCTTTTGTCCCAGTCTTCCATCTAGTCCCCTAGGGGAGTGTCCACCAGGTGGGAGACCTGCATAAATACCGGGCAGGTAGCCCCCATTAAATCAGTTAGTTTTACCCTTCATGAAGTCTCGACTCATGTTTGGGGGATTGGAAGCTATAATCACTCTGTTTCAGCGGGATTTCGGGAGAAGCTACAAGGATCAGCACTGCACGAATAGAAGGATCCTTTACAATTTTAATCTCTCTTTTATTAATATGGGTGTCATAGTGACTCCCATAGGTTTTAATAAGGGAGGGGGCAATAATAGTTATTTATTACAAGGAGGGAGCTGGTAGCGCTGTCGGGTCCCTCCTTGTTTTTCTTCCAGTGCATGCGCACTGTTATTTTTCCATGCTTAATGGTTAATTCCCCTGCAGCAAGGAGTCTATTAAACAAAGGAAACAAAATGAAAAGGTAATGCATTCGGCATTTGTCCTTTCCTTTCCTTTTGTTTATATTTCGTTTGTAGGGCTTTTATTTATGTTTTAGTAAACAAATAAAAAAAAAACAGACTTTTCTGATGAAATCATATTCGTACAAAAACTAATGCACATGTCTAAAACTCATAGTCAGGACGAGATAGTTCAGGTAAACATTAGGGCAACAGAATAACGGAGTCAAAACTAACCAGGTCAGGTATACCAGAATCAGAAACAGTCAGGAAGGCACATAGGGGTTATGAACCATAAAAGGGCACCAAGCTAATGATGAAAAAAGGTCATATAGGGCCAGGCCCTAGTGTCACATTTACATGGAGATAGAAAAAGGCACAAAGGTCACAGCTCGCATCAGTTGTGTTGGTTGGGATTCAGGATTATGTGACTGCCAGCTAGTACTGATGTTATTGTGTCAAGTTTGCCATGTTTTGTTTTACAAGACTGATGCTGGTGTCATTTTCTGTGAGTAACATTATATTACCCCCTCTAAAGAACTGCCCACTGCATCTGTTTATCACATCTGCAGCATCCATTACCTTTCCTCTGGACCATAGTCTCTCCCATGAATTAGATATTGCAATCTTCCTCTAGCAATATGTGAATCTACTACCTGTTGTAACTCATATTCCTCATGGTCATTAACAATAACTGAAGCAGGTGTGGAAGAGCATTTGTGCGGCTAGCTCCACAATTTTCGTATATTGATCCGAAACCTTCCTCAACAACCTCGATGAACTTTCCAGGGCTTATGGGCATAGATTAAGAAAAAGCTGGACCACTTCACCCTGCTCCAAAAGAGACAAGTGGACTGTATTTGTAGAGTGGCACCTTGTAAACTTGAAACCTTATTCTCTGGGCTGTGTCTCTCAAAGTGGCTTCCCTTGTTGTATTATCTGTAGGATAAACTTTGAACCTGCCACATCCCTAACACATTTAAAGTTTCTCTTTATCCATTAACATGTAACTGCTACTCTTTAACACCTCCAATACCAGTTTCAGTTGTTGTTGAAAGGAAGACAGCCACTAGAGGTGTCTACTAAACGGCAATGCTTTACATTGCGGGATTAAAACTAAAGGGTCACCACAACAAGTCCATTACATTGAGTTCAAATGGTCTGGGTTCCTCTTTGTTGGATTGGAACATTTAAAAACAAATTATTTACCAAATAATAATAATAGGCAAAAAAAAACTTAAAAAAATAAGTTACCAAATAATGAAGTTACAGTTACATAGTTATATGGCTGAAAAGAGACAAGGCAGAGGGGACAATACCTGCCTGGAAGAAGAGAGTTGCATCCAACTTAAGCTTCAGCCACTGGGTCTGAAGTGCTCCAGGGTTCCTGATAGCAGTTAGGAAGTGGACCTGGTGGAGGTAATCAACTGGAGTATGGGAGCTTTGTCACTGGTTATCTTTATAATACCTTAAATTTACTTACTATACTTTTTTCAGTTTGTTGCACCGGAACATTTGGTTTTCCACACTGCTTTGCTGTTTTTAACTGTATTAACTCCATAAATAATTTGTCTAATGCACTTTCTGTCATTATTCTTGGTTAAAAACAGATATATACTTACTAGGCCCACTGCCTTTTATATTTCCATCCTTGCAAATACTATCTGTACATTCCAGTAGTTACAATGCACATTACCAATTCTATCTTGGCAGAAAGTTCATTAATTACCTTGTTCATTTCCATATTTATATTTTCTTTTTCCCTATCCTTAAATCGGATTTGTTCTGTCAGTTGGGCAACTTTCTCGGTCAAGAACACTGTAGTATTTCTGTAATCAATATTGCTTGATTTCCCAGCATACAAGAGTAGCTTCTTTATCATCTTGTCATCACACCTTTTAAAAGAAAAGGATTGATAAAATAATTAATAAAACATATGAATATGCTGACTGATGTCTACTTTTTGATGTGCCACAACCTTCAAGAGTATTATAAAATCATCTAATTGCCACATGTACACTGATCAGCCAAAGCATTAAACCACCTAATGTTGTGTAGGTCCCCGTCATACTGTCAAAACAGCTCTAATGCATTGAAGCATGTACTCGAGACCCCTGAATGTGTCCTGTGGTATCTGGCACCAAGCTATTAGCAGCAGATCCTTTAAGTCCTCAGGTTATGAGGTGGGGCCTCCATGCTCAGTTGGATTGAACTCTGGGGAATTTGGAAGCCAACGTAACACTTTGAACTCTTTGTCATGCTCGTCAAACCATTACTGAACAATTTATGTAGTGTGGCAGGGTGCATTATCCTACTAAAGAGGTTACTGCTATCCTGTTGAAAGAGGCATATGTGGTCAGCAACAATCTTTATGTTGCTATGAAGAGGTGTAGGTTGTAAGTGTCAAAGTAACATCCACGTGAATTCCAGGACCTAAAGTTTATCATCAAAACATTTCCCAGAGCATAACACTGCCAGTGCTGGCCCACCTTCTTCCCATGGTGCATGATGCAGGTACATGATGCACATGCACCCTGCCATCCGCTTGATCTAAAAGTCCAGTTCTGAAGCTCACATCCCCATTGAAGGTGCTTTTGGGGATGGACAGGGGTTATCATGGGCTCTATGAGAGGTTGGCAACGACGCAGCAACTGCAATGTATTGATGTCCTGACACCTTTCTATCCTGGCCAGCATTCATTTATTTATTTATTTTAGCAATTTAAGCTACAGTCGTTTTTCTGTGTCATTGAACCCAAGGGACTAGCTTCATTCCCCATGTGCATTATTAAACCATTGGCACCCATGGCTCTGATGTTCAGCGGTTGTCTTAGCTTGCACCACTTTTGATAGGTACTAACAACTGTATACCAGGAACACCCCACAAGACTTGCTGTTTCGGAGATGCTCTGTCATTTAGACCTCACTATTTGGGCCTTGTCAAAGTCAGTGTTATTTACTTCTACCATCAGTGGATTTAATGTTAAGGCTTAGCAGTGTACATTAGCACAAGTTGTTATTATTGTACCAGTGCATAGTATTGGCCTTCACTTCTGCAATATGTTTGGTCTATGGTTAAGTCCCATCTGTTGGATGAAATATGTAAGGCATGTGATGTGGGTGTCACTTTACCTTATGGAATAAAGCAAGAGTTTTTCAAGACATCCTTCCTTATTGTTTGAATGTCATATTGGTCCTTTTTAAAAATAAGTATTTTTTCCCAACCTAATTTACTTATTTTTCCTTTTACTGTACCCATACATATAATATTTTTTGCTTAGGTTTGAATAGGGTTTTCTTCTTATACAATGATACATCTTAAATCAATAATAATAATTATTATTATTATTATTATTATTATCTATAGGAATTGTTAACAGACTGGATGTGAGGCTCAAAGGTGAGGCCAGAATCAAGTATAAAACCAAGACAGCACGCATGCAAGAATGGACTTATGTGGGTACCACTAACTT